GGTAAGTACACACACACACACACACACACACACACACACACACACACACACACACACACACACACACACACTACACCGATACAGGTCATCTCCTAAACCAGGCTAAACTAGACGTGTTAATAGTTTCCTAATTAACGATCATGCCCATTATATTATCCAAGAGAGATGTCTAAATTAGCTCTTTAAATACACATTTAACTTTTACAGGGAGATTTATTTTTAGGCAGCGTCAGTCCTCGCTTCCAAGCCGCTGCTGCCCGTTTTAATGTCTGTACCATCCCCTGCAGCAGGGCTGGGAGGGTTTTTGCACAGCTCCACTGGGTGGCTCTGTCACTGTGCCAGACACAGGGTGCAAAGATACACCGCGGTGTCTGCCAGCTCCAGGGCTGTGATATTCAGCGGAGCTGTCATCAGCCTGAGGCCTTGGCTACACTTGCAGATGTACAGTGCTGTGAGTTAAACCTGACTTCGTGCAGCTGAGTAGGGAAAGCGCTGCAGTCTGTCCACACTGACAGCTGCCAGCGCACTGTCATGGCCACGTTTGTGGCAATTGCAGCGCCATTGGGAGAGGAGCATTATGGGCAGCTATCCCACCGAGCACCTCTAGCGCCATGAGCTGTGGGAAGGGGGCGGGGGGTGGGGCATTCTGGGTCTTGTTCCAACGCCCCATGATGCATCGCTTCGCATCCCAGAAATCACTTTGTTTCCATCCACCTTTGGCGCCATCTTTCAACGGTTTCTGTGCAGCGCGATCTGTCTGCGGGAAATGGAGCCCGAACTGCTGAGGTGTATGCTGTCTTATCTCGCTAGCACGTCACGTTTGGCTGCCAAACTATTCCTTAAGATCCAAAGTGACAGTGAGAATGAGGAGTCCGAAGATGCTATGGAGCCGCGTAACGCGTATCATCCGAGACTTCTATAACATGAAATATATGTCAGAATGTGGGTAAAACAGAGCAGAGGACATACAATTCTCCCCTCAAGGAGTACAGTCACAAATTTAATTGATGCATTATCTTTTTAAAGAGCATCATCAGCATGGAAGCATGTCCTCTGGAATGGTGACTGAAGCTTGAAGGGGCATATGACTGTTTAGCATCTGGCATGTAAATACCTTGCAACGCTGGCTACAAATGTGCCATGCAAATGTCTGTTCTCACTTTCAGGTGACATTGTAAATAAGAAGTAGGCAGCAGTATCTCTTGTCAATGTAAACAAACTTGTTTGTCTTAGGCTAGGTCTACACTACCTGCCTGAATAGGCGGGTAGAAATCGACCTCTCGGCTCTCAAGATATATTCCTGGGACAAGAGACGTACAAGTAAATAGTTTCCAATCAAATCTGTCCAAACTGTAAATGTCTCTACAATAGGAGTATGATTTGACACTGGGAGAGTTGGTAACAGCAGCTTTACCCCAAAATGGGTATTTCTTAGAAATTTTGACATATTTTAACTCACCTATTGTACCCCCATTTCACAGTACATGAGTAATTTAACGATCTATTTACCATTTTAAAGTACATGTTTAATTCTCAATTTATCTCAATTTATATTTCCAACAGTAGTTCATATTGACTATATTTTTGCCCAAAATTTTAACCTTTATTTTACTACAAATGATTCCCCCCCCCCCCCCACTACACCAATATAGGTCATCTGCTAAGCTAGGCAAAGAGGTATTAATAGTTTCCTAATTCAAGATCATGCTCGTTATAAAAATAACAAGGAGTCTGGTGGCACCTTAAAGACTAACAGATTTATTTGGGCATAAACTTTCGTGGGTAAAAACTTCAATTCTTCAGATGCATAGAGTGAAAGTTGCAGATGCAGGCATTATATATATAGTAGTAGGTGATTTCTGGGTACCTGTCTTGCTCTGTCAATCTGTTTCCTCACTTCCCCAGGTGGGTATTGTAGTTTTAAGAATGCTTGATAAAGATCTTGTAGGTGTTTGTCTCTGTCTGAGGAGTTGGAGCAAATTCGGTTGTATCTTAGGGCTTGGCTGTAGACAATGGATCGTGTCATGTGTCTTGGATGGAAGCTGGAGGCATGTAGGTACATATAGTGGTCAGTGGGTTTCCGGTATAGGGTGGTGTTTATGTGACCATCAATTATTTGTACTGTAGTGTCCAGGAAGTGGATCTCTTGTGTGGACTGGTCCAGGCTCAGGTTGATGGTGGGGTGGAAATTGTTGAAGTCCAGGTGGAATTCTTCAAGGGCCTCCTTTCCGTGGGTCCATATGATGAAGATGTCATCAGTGTAGCGCAAGTAGAGGAGGGGCACTAGAGGACGAGAGCTGAGGAAGCGTTGTTCTAAGTAAGCCATAAAAATGTTGGCATAGTGTGGGGCCATGCGGGTACCCATAGCAGTACCACTGACTTGAAGGTATAAGTTGTCCCCAAATCTGAAGTGGTTGTGGGTGAGGACAAAGTCACAAAGCTCAGCCACCAGACTGAGATCCACACAAGAGCTCCACTTCCTGGACACTACAATTCCAGGAATTCCACCCAGAAATCACCTACTACAGGACAGGCCCAATGAGGACAATAACAGAACACCACTGGCCATCACATACAGCCCCCAGCTAAAACCTCTCCAGCGCATTATCCACAATCTATAACCTATCCTGGAAAATGATCCCTCACTCTCACAGACCTTGGGAGGCAGGCCAGTCCTCGCTTACAGACAACCCCCCAACCTGAAGCAAATACTCACCAGCAGCTATACACCATACCACAGAAACACCAATCCAGGAACTAATCCCTGTAGCAAACCTCATTGCCTACTTTGTCCCCATATCTACTCGTTGCCTACTTTGTCCCCATATCTACTCAGTCACACCATCAAGGGCTCATTCACCTGCACATCTACTAATGTTATATATGCCTTCATGTGCCAGCAATGCCCCTCTGCCATGTACATTGGCCAAACTGGACAGTCCCTTCGCAAAAGAATAAATAGACACAAATCGGACATCAGGAATGGTAACATACAAAAGCCAGTAAGTGAACACTTCAATCTCCCTGGTCATTCTATTACAGATTTAAAAGTCACTATTATTGAACAAAAAAAACTTCAGAAACCGACTTCAAAGAGAAACAGCAGAACTAAAATTCATTTGCAAATTTAACACCATTAATCTGGGCTTGAATAGGGACTGGGAGTGGCTGGCTCATTACAGAAGCAGCTTTTCCTCTCCTGGAATTGACACCTCCTCATCTATTATTGGGAGTGGACTACATCCACCCTGATTGAATTGGCCCTGTCAACACTGGTTCTCCACTTGCAGAGTAACTCCCTGCTCTCCATGTGTCAGTATATAATTCCTGCATCTGTAACTTTCACTCTATGCATCTGAAGAAGTGAAGTTTTTACCCACGAAAGTTTATGCCCAAATAAATCTGTTAGTCTTTAAGGTGCCACCAGACTCCTTGTTGTTTATGTAGATACAGACTAACACTGCTACCCCCTGATACTTGATGCCCATTATAGTATCCAAGGCTGATGTTTAAATTAGCTCTTTAAATAAACATTGAACTGTTAAGGGAAGCGGTATTTTTAAGCAGCATCAATACTCAGTCTTTTTCAAGACCCTGCTTCTCCGATTTAATGTCTGTACCATCCCCTGCAGCTGGGAAGAGAAGGTTTTGGTACAGCTCTGCTATGTGGCTCTGTCACTGTGCCAGACGCAGGGCGCAAAGGTACACCGCGGTGTCTGCCAGCTCCAGGGCTGTGATGTTCAGAACTGTGGCGCTGTCATCAGCCTGGGAAGAAAACCTCTGCTGGGCGAAACCTGCGGTGTCACTGAACGTGATCCCTTTTGCTCCTCTCAGGAGGATGTACTGTGGGGCTCGGTTCGGATACTGACGGTACCAGTAGAGATAGACACCAGCAGTGTAGCTGGTTTCATAAGAACAGCTGAGCGTCACGGAGCCTCCTTCTGACCCGGACACCTCGGGTTCCTTGGACCGGACCGAGTCACTCAGCACCGCACCTGCAAAAAGACACTCACGTTCATGGACATCCAGATGCATTGGCAGGTCTAGGCTGGGAAATTTAAAAAAGTCCGAAGGGTTTATCTGCCTAATTTCAAACAAGTTAAGGTTAGCCTAAAAGTTAAGGGTAGGGTTAGCAGTGGCGTGAGGAGCTGGGTCAGGGCTCCGGTTCTGGGTAGAAAGGGGGTTGGGATATTAATTCCATGACGCTTCTTCCAAAATCTGCACCCGGTTACCTAGTTGGCTAAAGACCCAAAGGCTGAGAATGAAACGCGTCTCCATGGTGCTCAGACAGCAGCAGCAGGACAAGCTGAGAGAAGAATTTTAAAGGCAACTTCTCGGAGGGACTGGGAGAGGTGAGTGCGAGACCAGCCTAGCAGAAGAGGGAGGGGTTCGGGAAATGCATAACACACACAGGAAACGGGCTGGGTTCAGGTTAGTCGGCAGCTGAAGCGCAGGTGAGAACTCGTGGGACAAATCCCTTCCACTGCACTTCCTGGGAGATCGAATTCTCTCTCTCGCTCTCTCTCTCTTTGTTTATTTATTTTCATATTTATTGTCCTACTTGCCGCCCCAGGCAAAAAAGCCTCCCGCAGTCCCCCCTCCACCCCACCAGAGCACCGCCGCGGGCTGCTCTCCCCGACCGGCCGGAGAGCAGGTGGGAGGGCGGCGAGCCCGGCCAGGGCTCCGCTCTCCCCGGCGGCCAGAGCGCCACGCCGCCCCACTCCAGGTGCCGCCCCAAGCACAAGCTTGGTGGGCTGGTGCCTGGAGTTGGCCCTGTCAGTGTCCTTGTTGCTACTTCGTGAGAACTGAATTAAAGACGTTGTGGGAAGATTTAAGTTCTGTGCTGTATGTGCTGGTTTTGTGGGTGTGGATGACTTTTTGTATGTCTCTATGTCTGTGTTTGCATGTGCGTGTGTATGTCTGCGTGCTTCTGTGTTTGTGCCTTTGTGTTTCTCTCCCATTGGCCCCATGCTGGTTTACTCCAGCGAGGGGAATCCAGCCCCAATGGGAGTACAGCTGATTGATACCTGTGGTGGACCTGGCCCAGTTGACTCCATCTGCCACACAGTGACTCACCGCAGCTGAGGAGCAGACCCACTGTGGGTAAACTGAGGTTAATCTGGGATAACACAATGGTGAATGAGGCCCAGAAGGCTTGAAATGTGTCAGGTCATGTGGTTTATACCAGCCCCATCATCTGGTTTAACCATCTGTCTGTGACCTGGGGATTCTACTCTGCAGTTGTGTTTCTAATGGCGAGAAAGCCCAGCGGGTGGGTTTTTGTACAGGGCTCCCTATTAAACGCCTCACAGTGTCTTCCCACAGAGCACAGAAATACACCGCCGAGTCCGTCGGCTCTAGCTCTTTAATGGTTAAACTGACGAATTTTGAGGATTTCCTGAATTCTGCAGAAAACCGTCTCCCGGCTCCATTCTTTTGAGCGTTACTCTCATCTATTTGGAAGAGGAAATCCATTGCCCCTGATCGGTGCTGTCTGTACCAAAATAAGTAGAAATACTGATATCCAGTGGAGAAAGTACACTCCAGGGTGACAGTCTGGCCCCCCAACTTTGCCAGCTGCCCTTGTGCTTGGGTGACACTGCCTTGTCCCTGGCTGAAACCTGCAGGGAAGGAAAGAAATGCAGAAAAAGTTCACTCTAATTAAGCATGTAAAATTGCCACATATCTACAGCCATTCTCATATGAGGAGAACAGAGGTCTTTTAGGACTCACGGCCTACCAGAAATGAAAAGGTTCTTTATGCGCATCTTATACGAAGAAACCAACTCAGGCCCAGCGAACAGGATGGGTTTGCCCCGCTTCTAGTAAGGCAGCAGTGAAGTTGGGAATAGAACCCAGGAGTCCTGAGTCCTAATCATCCATGCTCTAACCATAGACCCTGATCCCCTGATCCCCATTCAGGGCTGGGTATAGGACCCAGGAGTCCTGATTCTCAGTCTAACTGCTCTCAAGCACTAGACTTTATTCCTCTCCCAGAGGTGGGACTGGAAACCAGGCCAGACCCCCTCCTTTAACTCATTAGACACCCGCCTCCTCCTCCCTGAGTTGTAAACAGAACCCAGGAATCCTATCTTCCAATTCCCCTCACCCACCCACCCATTCAAATCCACTAGGTAACAGAAGGTCTAACATTCATTTCCTCCTTTAGTTGACCCTTACTAAAAGATAGAAATGCTGTTGCTATCCAAATCAGGATTTCTGGTTCATTCATGGTTAAATATATTGTTTCCAGATCTTCAGGCACTCCAAGCCACCACAATGATGTGTGCAATACAGGAACCTGAATAGAATAGAATCTTATGGTGAAGTTGCTCTCACGGAATCAAATCAGAGAAATTAAATCTGTGGCAAGAGCTACATTTAGTCCTCTCCTATAGACGCCAGTTGAAGGCTGTTTCTCTCTCCATGTAACACACCTAATACCCTCCCGAAGCGTTTACTCTACCGACTGTGGCTTTGGCTTGTTCCTGTCACGTGTCACCTTTCTGGCCTCCAAATCTCTTTAACATCTCAGGAGTAGACGCAACTTAGTTCTTCTTAGTTCTTCAGAGAGGAGAACTCAGCAAGAATCACGAAGTCAAGCAGGTTTTTACTTTTTTTCAAATGCTAACAGACACACACACACAAAAAGAACTGTGCATGGATTCCATTGCCTCAGATCTGGTCAGGACCCTCCCTGCTCACAGCCCAGAGAAACATTGTGCGTGGGGTTCTTTCTCCAGAGTGAAGCAAAATTAACCCCGTTGACTCAAGACCTGGGGATCTGGGCCATTGACTCCAATGGAGAGACAGCTGATTTATGCCAGTTGGGGTCAGGCCCATTGAATCCAATTGAGCAACCCTCATTTACACCAGCTGATACTTTGGCCCATTTACGCTACTGGAGCAAGGTCTGATTCCTATCTGCTGGGGTCTGGCCCCAAAAGCAGACGGAGCTATTCATGGGAAGTGTGGTGTGATAGCTAATGACATCTGGCTCATGGGATTCTGGGTATTGTGGAGAAGGTGGAGGCACGGTTCCTGGAAAAGGGGAACATTTTCACACAATTAGTGCCAGTGCGTTTCCGTCACACCTGCACCATTTGATTCAAACCCCTGCTTGTGGCTTGTTGTGTCTCTACACTCATTTCTATCTGCGCCAGTTTTGTCTCTGAGTCAAGAGAAAACTGATCACTGGATTTTGTAAAGGCCCCTCTATTAACCCACCCGCAGTGGTAACCTAAGGTGCTCTCAGGTATAGCACAGAAATACGTCGCCGAATCGCTCCGTTCTATCAGACCCACGTATTTTTCGGGTTTCCTGAAGTCCAGTGAGAACCGGCTCCCAGTCCCTTTGTGCTGGCTCCCGGCAGACCTTTGAAAGAGGTACTTCACCCAGGGCCGGCTCCAGGCACCAGCCTAGCAAGCAGGTGCCTGGGGCGGCCAATGAAGAGGGGGGCGGCACGTCTGGCCCTTCCGCGGCAATTCGGCGGTAGGGCCGTCATTCCCTATGGGAGCGAAGGACCTGCCGCCGAATTGCCGCTGTAAAATGAAGCGACGGTAGAGCTGCTGCCGATCGCGATTGCACGATTTTTTTTTTTTTTGCTGCTTGTGGTGGCAAAAATGCGAGAGCCGGCCCTGCTTCACCTGGCCACTGCTGTCCTGTTTGTACCAATATATGTCATAACCTACATCTTCAGTCAAGAAAGTACAGTCCAGTGTGACAGATTCACTTTGTACCCCAGTCAGCTGTCCTTGTCTTTGGGTGACACTGTTCTTCCCGGTACTTAACCCTGAGAAAAAAGTAGATGCAAATTCACTATAAAAATTAGCACAGCTGTGTCTGCTGCCAACTGAGAATCTCCAAGGGTTTTCCAATAGATGTGATCTATCTATCTATCTATCTATCTATCTATCTATCTATCTATCTATCTAATCTTCCCTACTCTGCAATATATAACTATTTGTCTGTCTCTCTCTCTATTTTTTCTCATTCATTTTTAGAAATGCTCAAGCAGAGATTTTCAAAGCTGCCCAAAAGATCCAGATGTCTTAAAATTAATGGGATCTGGTTGTCCAAATCTGGTTGTGAATCCCAGCCCTAATACAGAATGGCATTTTTTTCTTTTATATTAAACGGCATGTCTCTTTGTAAAAGGAGAACAAATTTCTTTCCTAAATACCACATGATATTCAATTTCAGAGTCCAGGGATTTTCTTTTACACTCTGAATATGTTAACAGCGGAAGCAGCATGGCCCTTAAAAACACATTTAGACTTTCATACCTTTATTCATTTTTAATGAAAATCGATTAAAAAAATTGACCTCACCTGACAACAAAAGTAGAATATAGAGCTGTACAACTAAATACAGCATGCTGTAACTTGAAATTAACCTCGTGGTTACTCGGTGTCTGTAGCAAGCAAGAAAATATTTCTTCCACTTTGTTAGTTTGTTGTGTGTTTTTTTGTTTTTGTTTTTGTTTTTGTATTTTAATGATTCTGCTTGAGGTAAAAAGGAGCCCTGCTTTTCCTGTAAGCCCATCTTCTATTTCCTTCCTGCCCTGTGAAGTTAAAACTATCAGAGAAAACAACAAAATACAAAGTCAAAGGTGGTTAATGTGTAGGTCTAGAGCGCCCCCTACTAGATAGCCACAGCAACCAATAAAACTACCAGAGATCACTCAGGAGGGGAAAATGCGCGTGGAATTTCAGGTATGATGTTTCTCCAGAGGATAATTTTTTGAATCCTGTGATTATTCACACAGAGGTTTATTTTCTGGGCTGTGAGACTTTGAGGAAAGAGATAGCTTAGCACATTTTGAAAAAACAAACAAACAAAAAAACTTCTTCTCACTATCTTTCGCCAGTCATTATTCAAAATCCTCCTGGTGTGCAGACTTCAGGCTTGTTCGAATACTCTGTGTTTTTATGTTTCTTGGCTGGTGATTAGGGCTCGGATATTCAAAAGGGCCTACAGGAGCTGAATTTCACTGGAATTTTCAAAGGAAACTGGGTGCTTAACTCATTTGAAAATCCTAGCCATAACTACAAGTGGCTCATTAAAGGATTCAGTATTAGGAGAAATACTGATAGGAGGAGTAGGTATTTTTAACCTACAGCCAGGTATTGCTACTCTAGCAGCAGCTGCTACTGCCCTCCCCTCTCCCACCTCTCAGCTGTGCGGTGGAGGGTGGGGGGAAAGTTGCTCCTCTGCACATATTGTAGCTTAAAGACAAGTTTGATAAGAAGTTTTGAGAGGAAAGATGGGCCAGTGGTTAGGCCACGAGCCTAGAATCTGGGAGATCTAGTTCCTGCTCTACCCAACACTGTCTGTGTGACCTTGGGTGGGTGACTTGTTAGCCTCTCTGCCCTTCAGGTCCTCATCCCTAAAACGGAGATCATGGCCCTGCCCTATATCACACAAGTGTTGTGAAAATAAAATAAATTCAAGACTGTGAGGTGCTCAGGTGATGGGGGTCATAAAAGTAACTTAGAAGTTATGGGCTTATGGTCAATTTTTCAAGAGCACCTAAGTGAGGTAGGACACAGCCGCATTTTGAAAAGGCAGTTTTGAAAATGTTCTCCTGAAAGCCGGAATTATGGAATGACGTTCTCCGACCTGTGCTATGCAGGAGTCAGCCTAGATAATCAGAAAGGTGCCTTCTGGTTTTTAAAATCTGTTATATCAGTCCATGCTCATTTTTAATGGAAATCTGGTGTTCAAAACCCAAAATCAGCTTAAAACTCTTAGACCAAGTATTTCCTAGCACACTTGATGGCCATGATGATGGCACCTAGAGGATAAAACTGAGATCTGGGCTGGCCCCAACAGGCAGAGAAACCTGCATCAAAGATTTTTCAAACTCAACACCCAAGACAGACGGCGAAGAATGCACGTGAGGGATGTGGGAGGGGTTTTTTGCAGCTGTCTCCGCGGACTCTCTCCCTGTGTCTCATTCAAGGCACAATAATACACAGCTCCGTCTGCCAGCTCCAGGCCTGTGATGATCAGAACTGTAGCAGTGGCGTTAGTCTCAGAAGTGAATCTCTTCCGGGCAAACTCTGCGTGGTCACTGATTGTGCTTCCCTTCGCTCCTCTCCGGAGAACGTATGGCGGGGCTTGGCTGGGGTTCTGGTGGTACCATTGGAGAGAGACACCGCTATAGCTGGTGCTGTAGGAACAGCTGAGGGTCACAGCGTCTCCTTCTATGACAGACACATCGGGTTCATTGGATCGGATTGAATTGCCCAACATAGCACCTGCCACAAAACAAAATACACCAGATAGATAGATAGATTAGATAGTCTGAGAGAGATACAGCAGAGGAATGGAGGCAGAAGGAGAGTTAGACTGATAGAGAAAGGCAGAGTGCAGAAAAGAAAGAGACAGCTGCTAGAAATATAATTAAAAATGCAACTTGGGATGAGAGAGACAAACTCATAAGCAGTGAGGCAATAATTAATAATTATTTATGTTTTAAGCATTTTAAACTAAAATCCTGACATAGCAAAGCCTTTAAACACGTTTAATGTTAAGCAATGTGTGTAGCCCACTGATTTCAACAAGAGTGAAGCAAGTGCCTACGTGTTTTCCTGGACTGAGTCCTAAGAATCTAGGAGCATGTACGCCTGGTCTACACTATGAGTTTAGGTCGAATTTAGCAGCATTAAATTGAATTAACCCTGCACCCGTCCACACAATGAAGCCATTTCTTCGACATAAAAGCGTCTTAAAATCGATTTCTGTACTCCTCTCCAACAAGGGGAGTAGCACCGAAATCGACATTGCTGGTGCGAATTAGGGCTAGTGTGGACGAAATTCGACGGTATTGACCTCTGGGAGCTAAGCCACAGTGCACCATTGTGACCGCTCTGGACAGCAATCTGAACTCGGATGCATTGGCCAGGTAGACAGGAAAAGCCCCGCAAACCTTTGAATTTCATTTCCTGTTTGCCCAGCGTGGAGAGCACAGGTGACCACAGAGAGCTCATCAGCACAGGTAACCATGCAGTCTGAGAATCGAAAAAGAGCACCAGCATGGACCGTACGGGAGGTACTGGATCTGATCGCTATATGGGGAGAGGATTCCGTGCTAGCAGAACTATGTTCCAAAAGATTAAATGCCAAAACATTTGAAAAAATCTCCAAGGGCATGATGGAGAGAGGCCACAATAGGGACTCATATCAGTGCCGCATGAAAGTTAAGGAGCACAGACAAGCCTACCAGAAAACCAAAGAAGCAAACAGAAGGTCCGGGTCAGAGCCGCAGTCATGCCACTTCTACGCCAAGCTGCATGCAATTCTAGGGGGGACCGCCACCACTACCCCACCCATGACCGTGGATTCTGAGGTAGGGGTAATCTCAGCCATGCCTGAGGATTCTGTGGACAGGGAAGATGAGGAGGAGGAGGAGGATGACGAGCTTGCGGAGAGCACACAGGACTCCGTTCTCCCCAACAGCCAGGATCTTTTTCTCAGCCTGACTGAAGTACCCTCCCAACCCTCCCAAGGCAGTATCCCAGACAATGAACCCATGGAAGGGACCTCAGACGAGTGTACCTTTGTAAATATAAAACATGGTTTAAAAGCAAGCGTTTTTTAATGATTAATTTACCCTGAGGATTTGGGACGCATTCGCGACCAGTACAGCAACTGGAAAAGGCTGTTAATGTGTCTGGGGATGGAGCGGAAATCCTCTAGGGACATCTCCATGAAGCTCGTTCATATTGTTCATGGTAACCTGGTTGAAATATGGGAATTTGATTAAGGGGACAGAGGTGGACGTTCCTACTTGGCTGTTTGCCTGTGGCTGAAAATAAATCCTTCCCTGCAGTTAGCCAAGTGGTGGTGGGGGGCATTGTCACTGAGGTTTTCACGTTTGGCTAGCAGGGATCTTCCCTGATACCAGCCACACGGTGGGGGGAAGGATAAAGCAATCATCCCAGAGAATTGGATGGGGGGGGGGTTAGTTTGGTTTCTGCTGCTGCATGTTAACAGGAAAACCGCAGCACTCAACAGGCTTTGCTAAATATGTGGGAAAGGAAGGTGCTGCTTTTAGGAAGGCTGCAGAAGCCAAAAGACAATGGCTTACCATGGCTGCAAGGAAGCCAAACT